CACAACTTCTTTAACATTCTCAAGGCTCAACTAATTCAAATCACCATTTCACAAAATCTCAAGATAAGGAGAAAGACAGAGAAAACTACTCAAAACTCATGAGAAAGATACTACAAAACTTGGAATTTATATATAAAAGCAAAGTCATACAAACTACAATAAGCAAATACCACTTATCTCTAATTCCTCCCCAAGCAAACTCCATGAAGTTCTTCTAAATCTCTTCCTTTATTTACAGTACATAGAATTCTTCTTTAAAGCGGAAGGAGGAAGAAATCTCTCACTTTCCCTCCACTCTTACAATCTCTCGAAGAATTCCTCACAATATAACTCTAAATTAAACTCTCTACACTCTACACCCTCTTTAATTTCAGCCAAAAGTTTTTCTTAAAGTTGTAGAAGAGTTTTACCAAGAGTTGCCTAAGCATCCCCTCAAAAATCGTCCACATTCAATGCACTTATTGAGATAACTGCCGATCTCACCATCAGCAGCCTCGAGGGCGCCTCGCCTTCGGCGGCCTTCTGGAATATTTGATTCTAAACTCTCAAGAAAAACCCGTCGTCGACGCCGTTGGGTTCGCCGTCGGCGCCATAGTTCAAATCTTTATATTTTAGTCATTTTCGCTCCAAATTCGCTCCTTTTTGCACATTTTTTTCTCCAATGACCATAATTCAACATACCTGCAACAAAACATCAAAAATATCTTTTTTTAAAGTGCAATATCATCAAAATCAGTGTAAAATAGGTATAAAAATCTCAACATTATTTTCTTTGGTCAGTTGGCAGGGTTCAAATCCTACCTTAGACAAAATATAGAATTTTTATATTCAGAGTTGGGGAGCTCAAATTTTGAATTTTGCATGAAATTCGAGAAAATTGATTTTTTTTTGGAAGATGAAAATATCATCAACTTTTCTTCATTTATCTTTTTTTTCTTTTTTTTTGGAAGATGAAAAGTTATTTTCATTTTTTTGTGTCATTAAATGTTTTCACTCCTTTTTTAGCCTGCTTAATAATAAATATTTAATTTTTCACTTCTTTTTTAAGTCTATTTAACAATTGAAGTCTATAATAATGACTATTAATGGTTAAATCCCTTTTAAAGCCTATAAATAGGGGTCTGGTGGAGTAGGCAGAGGTGGATTCTCCAACTGATCTGGGATTTCCCAGAAGAAAAAAATCGTCCCGAGTAGCGGTGAAGAATTGCGGCACAGAGTTGCGGGGCAGAGTTGTGGCGTACAATTGTGGGACAGAGTTGCGGTGCAGAGTTGCTGGGCAGAGTTACGGCGAAGAGTTGCCGTGGAGTGTCGAGACGAAGCGTTGCGGCGCAGAGTTGCAGCGAAACGTTGCGGTGCAGAGTTGCAGTGAAACGTTGCGGTGCAGTGTTGCGACGAATCGTTGTAGTGCAGTGTTGTTGTGTACTGTCGCAGAAATGACAATAACTGGAGAACCTCGTTTTCCCGAATGATATGGTGGTGAAATTGTCAACTTCAACTGATTGAGCTTATTCTCCTCCTTCTGGGTATGTTGTTATTCATGAGACAGCCTTGAAAGCAGGTTTAAGATTTTCGCCGGCACCTGAGTTTATTGATATTATGAAAGTATTCGGGGTTTGCTTTGCCCAGTTGTTTTGTCGGGTGGTGACAGTCATTATTGGGTTAATTGTTTTCTTCAAGAGTCATGGGTCGATGTTAACACCGACAATTTTGACACGGATGTGAGGGTTTTTTAGTGATACACATGATCGTGTGATATTTAAGCATAAGATGTTGGATTTCTGCCTAAAGGAACCGATGAGACAATGGTCCGTGAAATTCTTTTTGCACAAAATGATTGGGGGCTCCGCGAGAGGCGAGGAAGGTTTCAACAATTGTCTGTCTCTCTTCAGACTACCGAAGAGGTAATATTGTAGATGTTGAGATTTCATGACTTGAAGGATCTGTTGTAAGAGACACAATATATTTACGAATTTGTGAGTGAGGAATCATTGTTCAAGGTTAAGCTTTCTTTCCACCCCGAACGGTCTGCGGTTGTAGTATTAAAGAAATCTAAGAAGATACCATCCGAGTCAGGCCTTGCAGAATCATTAAAGCGGTTTCCAGTGAGTAGTGACTGTGAAGTATTGCCTCAGAAACAAAAGAAGGTCAAAACATCATGGGAGCCCTTTCCATGCCCTTCAACTATTCATGTTCCTGAGAATATCTTGTCTCATGAATGTAGTGGGCTCCTGGAAGCCGAGAGTTTTGTGAGTTTCTTTCATCTTCTGTTACTATATAATTAATTCATCTTTCTGACCCATATTTCTTTTCTTCTAGGTGGATAATATGGTGGAAACTCAGAAGGGGCTAGGACTGACATTAAGATACTAGAATTTTGAGTTTGTTAAGATCAAATATTTTCAAAGTGAGTACAAACGTCGGTATGAATCTGGGGTTGAAAAAGTTACATGTTTGGAATCACAGTTGACAGAGTGCAAGATATAATTTTCAACAATGGCAACTTCCCTCTTGTTGCAGCTTCAGGATCTGGAGAAAAATTAGGAGGGGTTGGTTGAAGCACGAGCCAGCTTTCGTGAAAGTAATAAGAACGTGAAAGCCCTTAAGTCAACGGTATTAGCTCAAGAAGAAGAGATCCAACTTTTGAGGTCTGCAAAAGAAGTTGATGTCTCAGAAGTTAAGCGTAAAGCGGTCGAGGACTTTAAGAACTCTCTTGAGTTTAAGACTATCATTTGAGACCGTGTTCAAGAGGCTCGTGATCGGGTGCTTGATGTTTAAGTAAAGGAGCAGCAAAAGTGGTTCACCGGAAAGGATTCATCCGAGGTTTTCTGAAGGGGAGTCGAGCAGTGCAACGCAGAACCGGTATAATCGTGGAGGGGCTCACTCCTAGTCAAGCTTCAAAGGATTCTTCCTCAAATTCTGATAGTGATGACATCGAGAGTGAATTGAAGAAGGTGCTCTTTAATGACAAGGAGGGGGCGGAGGAGAATGTTGACGTTGATTAGTGTTATACTCCTCCTTTTATGCTTGTAGTGTGTTTGCTTTTGTCATGTTGTTTGATCCTCATAAATGTTATTATGATGTTGTATGAATGATGCATGAAGATCATCTTGTTTAATTTTTTGATTTTGTTAGCTATTTTCCCCCCAAGTATCTTCTCTTTCTTTTTATTTATTGTTTTATGATAATATTTTCCTTTCATTCCACAGTGGATACAAGATATCTTAGAAGTTCTAGTATGTGAGAAAGTTATCGCGGGGATAAATTGCCATCGGCTTTTAACTTGGCTGGGGTTATGCATCAGAGTATTTCTTTGTATGTGAGGAGCCAACTAAAGTCTACTGAGGACATATTAATACATTTGAGGTTGTTTGTTGGAGCATTGCTTGCTTATGAACTTGTGTGGAAGGGATCAAGTATAGTCCACCAAGGACTGTTAACATTTTCAAAGGTTGTTTATAGGAGTAAAAACTCAACGATGTTAACCCAAAAGGTCAAATCAAATCCCCTTGGGATATATCGTGCTATGACTAAGATACAATCAGAGTTGTGTATTTCTCGGGCCAAGAACATAAAGTGACTCGTGGAAGAGCTGTTACACTTTCTAAAGATATTCTTTTTTGTAAAATAAAGTAAATAATATTTAATGAGTCTGAGATACATTAACAGTGCATGTAATATGACATAAATGATATGAATGAAGTGTTACTTGTAGTATTTTTAAAGATTCTTGGCATTCCAAGTCCGAGGCAAGATTTTTTCATCTGATTGTTTGAGCTTGAAGGTTCCAAGCTTGATCATGGTAGCCACGATGTATGGGCCTTCCCAAAGAGGGGATAATTTTTTGCGTTGGGGACCATGACTAGCGGCTTCAATACTACACAAAACCAATTCAGCAATGGAGATAGGTCGAGGTTTTACTCGTGGGTTGAAGTGGCGAGCAATTCTTTGTCGGTAGGAAGCAGCTTTAAGGTGGGCCACATCGCGTATTTCCAGGAGAAGATCCAACCGTTGTCGAAGCTTTTCTTCATTGCTATCCGACTCAAAGATCCAACTGTTGTCGAAGCTTTTCTTCATTGCTATCCGACTCGAAAGTCTTGACTCGGGGGTTTGGAACTTTGATATCAACGGGGATGATAACATCGGTGTCAAAACACAAGTTATATGGAGTTTCCCCCAGTAGGAGTTCGTGTGGTGGTGTGATAGGCCTAGAGGACGTTATGCAACTCTTCTACCCACTGCCCCCCAACCTTCTCAAGACGAGTCTTCAACCCCTTCAGCACCGTCCGATTTGTCACCTCTTTTTGTCCATTTGTTTGGGGATGCGCCAAAGCAGTGTGCACCAACTGAATGTGAAGATCCTTACAGAATGATGTGAAGACCCTTCCAGTAAATTGAGTCTCATTATCAGTGATAATTTTTGCAGTAAGCCCAAAGCAACAAATGATGTTTTTCCAAACAAATTGTTTGGCATTGGCCTCAGTAATCTTGGCAAGAGGCTCTGCTCATACTCATTTGGTGAAGTAGTCAACAGCTAAGACGATGAATTTTCATTGTCCAGTAGCTATTGAAAATGACCTCATGATATCTACCCCCCAATGGGAAAAAGGCCAAGGATTTAGAAAAGATGTGAGTTCTTCTGGTGGTGCATGCGTAAGATTGGAGTATAGTTGGCAATTCTTGCATTTTTTCATAAACTCTAATGCATCTTGTTTAATCGTGGGCCAGTAGAAGTCTTGCCTCACTATTTTAAGAGCAAGTGTCATGTCACCAAGATGCTCCCCACATATTTTAGAATGAACCTTTCGTAGAGTGTAATCAGCTTCAAATTGAGGAAGACACTTGAGATATGGACCTACAAATGCCTTCTTATACAGTTCATCCCTTATAAGGATGAAGTTGGCAACCATGTGTTGGATGCAAATTGATGTAGTAGCATCATATGGCAGTGTTCCGTTTCGGAGGAAGGAGATGATGGGATCCATCAAAGAAGCTCCCTGGGATCATCTATAGACAGTATCTCCCATGGGCCCTAAATACTGGGAAAATATATCTCCTTAATACACCTTCTTTTATAGATATCTCTAGTTGTTAAAGTTGCGAGCTTAGAGAGGGCATCAGCTCGGGTGTTATGCTTCCGAAGTATGTGAATAAGCTGACATGTTTCAATTCGGGCGAGAAGTGTTTTTACTAGACTGAGATATTGCACCAGTTGTGAGTTATGAGCGTCAAATTTTCCCTCCACTTGGGATGCAATGAGTTGAGAATCTGGGTAGATAATTATGTTTCGCATTTCACAGTTGATGACAAGTTTTAATCCAGCGACAAGTGCTTCATATTTGACAACATTATTGGTGGCTAGAAATTTCAAACGAAGTTCATACTTCAAAATGTCTTGCCTTAGGGAGATGAGTAGTATTCTTACACCAGCTCATGAATTTCCGGATGCTCTGTCTACATATAGTGTCTACTGAGGTGACCGTGGAAGAGAAGATGGTGGTTAATCAGAGGTTGACACAGTACACTCTACCACAAAATCGGCCAACACCTGTGATTTGATGTTTGGTTGCGGTAAATAGCAGATGTCAAATTCTCTTGATTATACTAACCATTTAACTAATCTTTCTGTTGCTTCTAGTTTTTGTAGGATAGCTTTCAAAGGGAGTTGTGTGTAAACGCCAATACTGTGAGCCTGGAAGTACGGACGAAGTCTTCTTACTAAGAAAACCAGGGCTAGTGCAGTCTTGTCTGCCATTAGATAGCAACTTTATGTATCTAAGAGAATCTTGCAAATGTATTATACTGATTTCTCAATTGATTTTTCTATTCTGACAAGAATAGAACTTATTACATGTTTATTACATGAGGTGAAATAGACAAATAGATATATAACATCTCTCCTTGGATGGGCTTTGAGAAGAGGGGCGGTGAAGCCAAATATGCATTGAGTTGCTCGAAAGCGCTCTAACAATCATTTGTCCACTAAAAACCGGTGTTCTGAGCACCTTTGAGTATCTTAAAGAATGACAGATATTTATCCCCAGAACGAGCTAAGAAGCGGAATAAAGCGGCTATACGACCATTCAACCGTTGTACCTCGTTGATGTTTTTTGGAGCCATCATGTCCCTCAGGCCTCAGCGCCTTAATTTTTTTTTTGGGTTTGCTTCAATTCTATGATGGGTAACCATGAATCCCAAAAACTTCTCTGGTGTCACCTCGAAAGCACATTTAGTCGGGTTAAGTCATAAATCTTATTGACGAAGGAGTTGGAAACACTCCTCCAAATAAGAAGTGTGTCGGGATGCTTCTAGGTTTTTTACTAACATGTCACCAACGTAAACCTCCATTGTATGCCCAAGAAGATTCTTGAAGACTTTGTTCATGAGACATTGACAAGTTGCACCAACATTTTTTAATATGAATGACATAACCTGATAACAATATAAGTTTTTATCTGTTTGAAAAGAGGTGGCTTCCTCATCTACTGGGTTCATCTTTATTTGATTTTACCCTAAGTAAGCATCCATAAATCTTAGCATCTGATGTCCGGAAGTGGCATCAATAAGTTGATCTATGCATGGGAGGGGAAAACTATCCTTCGGACATGTTTTATTGAGGTATGTATAAGCAACACACATTCTCCATGAACCACTAACTTTTTTCACCATGACGACCTTGGCCATCCATGCAGGATGGTGTACCTCTTGTAAGAACTTTGCTTCAAGAAGCTTGTTGAATTCTTTTTCAATAGCTTGTAAGCAATCTGGGGGTAAAATTGTGCTTCTTTTGAACGTCTGATTTAAAGGTTGGATATATCTTTAAAGAGTGCATGATTATTTTAGGGTCAACCTCAGGCATGTCGGCCGGAGTCCATGCAAAAATATCTTGGTTCCTTCGGAGGAGATCTACATATTCTGACCTTTCCTCATCGGAGAGTAAGGAACCAAGCTGTACATTTCTTGATGGGTGTTCATTAGAGAGCGAGACATGAGCTAAATATTTTGCAGAGGAAGCTCTTTGAGATACATCTTCGTCTCAGAGATCAAAGTTTTCAATGTTAACTGTCACAGATGGGCGTGGTTGAGCTTGCCTAAGGTAACATGATTGTGTTATATGTTGATCTCCCCGAACGATGCTAATCCCTGTTGGGGTTGGAAATTTGAGCTTCAAGTGTAGTACAAATGTTACGATGCCAAAGATGGATTGTATAGGTCTCCCGAAGATGGCGTTGTATGCTGATTCTGACTTGACAATAATGAATTGAACTGAGTGAGTTATCTGTCAAGGAAAATCTCCCATGAAAACATGGAGATTTATTATTTTTTGAACTGAATGAGTTATCTGTCGAGGAAAATCTCCCATGAAAATAGGGAGATTTATTGTTCCCTCGACCCGTACTGATCGATTATCAAAACCATATAATGGCTTAGATGCAGGTTGAAGTCTTTCCCTTGTTAGTCCCAAAATAAGGAAAGTGGAGTAGAACAAAACATCAACAGAGCTCCCATTATCGATCAGGATTCTTTTTACATTGTAGCAGGGTTCGCCAATTCCTGCGCTAATGACAAGAGGATCTTGGTGAGGTACTCAGACTCCTTCTAGATCAGAATCATCAAAAGTGATAGGTTGAAGGCATAATTTCTTATGTGTTGGTTCACCAGGTGCAGTGATAAGAAATTGATCAGTTAGCAATGGGCCTCATGCAATTGTTTGAATTTCACCCACGACTGGGTGACCCCCATGTTATTGCCTTTGTGTTTTTTGTCCCCCGATAGGAGCATTATCGGTACCAACTAGTTTGTTTTGTATAAATCAACCAAGATATCCCTGCTGAATCAACCTTTCAATTTCTTCCCTAAGGAGCTTACATGCCTCAGTGGTGTGGCCACGACTTCGATGAAAATGACAGTAATGTTCTTGATTTCCCGAGTTAGGTTTTAGAGGGTGATGTCACTTAACAGCTTGCTCATCTTTGATGGCCATCAAGATGTTAGCGCGTGACGTGTTGGGTGGTGTATATTATTTCTTGGGTTGATATTCAGTTCGTTAACCCACAAGTTGAAGGAGGAGGTCATGATTCTTTGGTTGTTTAGACTTTCTTCGTTGTGAATATTGATTATTGTCTCTGGAGTTACCTTTGTTCTTTCCCCCAAATTTTTCAAACCAAATTTTTCAACTTGTTCTTTATGTGCACTGATGGCCTCATCCACAGTGATTTGGGCCTCCACACGGTGGACAAGATCGACATAAGAATGAACAGTCTCCCGCATCAGTGATGAGGAGAAGGGTACCCCTTAAGTAACTCTGGATCTACTTCTGAAATTTGACGGGCTTCAGCAAAAAACCTGCGGAAGTAGTCTTTGAGAGACTTTCTTTAACTTTGACTAATTCTTGAGAGATGAGATGAATCTTTGATGATCCGTCGATTTGCTATGAACTGCTCCACAAACAATCTGACAAGCTCGTTAAAGGTATTTACAGTGCCCCCTGATAGAGAGTAAAACCAGGTTCGAGCTTGTCCCTTAAGAGTGGCTGGGAACACCTGACATAGAAACACGTCAGAGGCACGTTGAATATGCATGATGGTTCCATAATGATCAATATGTTCATATGGGTCAGTTATCCCTTCATATGCGTCAATGTTCGACAACTTGAAGCCTGATGGAATAGGGTGTTGGAGGACCGCATTTGCTAAAGGAGAGGATTTAAGGATGTTATGGTGAGTATGGAAGCAATCTTTCTTCTATAGGGGGAACTCTTCTCGGACGAGGCGACGTAGTTCGTTACATATGACATCATCTGGAATGGTATAAAGATGTGGTGGTGCCATGGGAGCTGCATGAGATGGATCAGTGGAACTTGTGGTGTCTAGAAGTTCAACATCACCTCCTGACAAGGGAACTATTCCTTCTTGAGCAGGGTGGCCGGTACGAGTCTCTCTGGGCGGTATGTTTGTCGTAGTTCGTGAATTTAATGGCAACCAAGTATCGTTCATCGGTGTGGACAGTGGTTGTTGGGTCCCTCGTAGGAATTGCATGATCTCCAACTGAGACTCTTCCATTCTACGCATTCGTACTTCCATAGAAGGACCCAAAACCCCCTCGTTAGTTGGATAATGTGTTCTTCCATAGAAGGACCTGAAACCCCCTCGTTGGTTGGATACTGTCTTCTAGGGCGGGAAGATGAAGAAACATGTTGCCCTTGACTTCGTGACTGTTCCCTGGAATGATGGGTGTTAGAGCGAGCTGCTCCGTTTTCCTAAACATTTTGTCTGGTGGCCATGTAGAAAATTGAGCAAGCACTTCAGTGGCGGGATTGAGAGCTTCTCACAAACGGCGCCAAACTGATGTGTGCTAAAAAATTTGCAACGGTAGAGTAACAAATTATAGTCTTAGCGTTGTACAAAAGTTCAACACACACAAATGAAATAAAAAAAATTGTGATGACTCTAGAAGTTTTTATGTGAAAAATTCGAAAGGGGAAAACCACGGGACATGGCCCAATTGTGAAAATCTTGTCCCACAGACGGGAAAGGGTAACTATATTTTTCAATGTACAATGTCGACTGACAGTTTCTGGTTGGTGGTGATCGATGACGGTAGGTAGAGATTGACGACATTCGACGGTGGTCGACATCGGTTGGCGGTGGTTGATGACGCTTGGTGGTGATAATGAACTACAGCTTTTCCTTAAGACCTCAGGCTTTCTCTTGACTTCATTCTTTTTCATGAGAGGGATGGGGCTCTATTTATAGTGTTATGGATGCAATTAATGCAGGAATATGAATCATTTTGATCGGACGGTCCGGAGAGCTTCCCTCGATCATATGAAATTTAATGGACATTTGAGTGTCTTAATGATGTCAGAATTGAGTAATCTTGGGCTCGTTGGATTCATCTTGTTGAGCCGCTCGATTTGAGTATAAACTTATCATATTTGACAGTTGTTTGAATTTTCAAATGTATTCATAAATCTTCTAACTAT